ATCTTTATTGACATAACAAAAGTACAGCAACTTTCGTAAGATCTGCTACAACTAAACATACAAACAAGTCTAAAGTGGATACAAAAGAAGTAACCTACATGTAAGTACACATATATGATTAAATCAACAGGTTGAGTTTGAAATATCACTTGTACTACGAGTGATACTTCACTAGTAGTGAAGTTTTGGGTAAATCTTAGACCCTACGGTGCAGTATCCATTGGCCAGAGGAGTGTCCATTAGCCATCGAAGATCTGCTCAACTGGATAGATTTGACATCCTTGTCTAACCCTTCATGGACGTATTTGATGGAAAAACTGAAAAACATGTGATAACGTGTGACTACAGTGGAAGATATTGTGAATTGTTTTGGAAATGATATGTAAAATCGCATAGATAATCAATGGCCATGATTGCGCAAACAACTAAAAGTTGTCCAAAAAGTGGGTTCCCAGTTGGACTGGTACTGCACTTCCCAGAAGTCGACGGGGTCACTTCTTAAGGCCCGGGGGGAATGGCACACATCAAGATACAAAATGGTGGCATTATATATTATACAGCGTCCAGGATCCCCGTCTCCAGTCACATTTCTGCAAATTCTCCCTTTCACATGATCTGTCGGTAACACCATTTCTATCATTTATTTGTATCCACTTGCAGAAGGCCTTACAAAAGCCGGCGGCCTCTTTACGTTCATGACCATCTTGTCAGTTACAACTCGAAAAAAAAAAAACGACCTCGCAGAATTTTGATTGAAAAGCTTGTTCTAAACTTTGCAAACAAAGTGTCGTTTAGGGTCGGCGATAGTAAACCTTGATGCAGGGGAAGATAGGAACAAGGCTGACGGCGTCGGCCGAAAGTTTAGGTAAGTCCCAGTTTACTCCGTGTGGGCAAGAACGTTTAGAATTTTTGTCACAACAATGGAATTAGACTTCTCGTGTGTGACACACATAATGATAGTTTGCAATTCGTAGCTTAGCGGTTTTTTTAATTCCAACATTTCATGACCAAACATGGCGACGGCACACTCAAGTTATGTCAACTTATTCGTCAGCTAGTTTATAAAAGGGCCTATTCATCTGAAGATGGAAAAAATCACAACCACCTGGTTCTTGACTAGTACTCGTGGCTGAACTCGCCATGCGATACCGGGCAGGCAAGGCCGAATGGTCAGGCCGTCCAGGCTTCGGGAGGCGGCTGGAAAGAGTAGAAATCGACCCGTGGCCAACTGTACTTTCTAGGGACTAACTCCTCTGGCATGTTATCTCTCTATTTGGCCGATTTCTACTCTTTCCAGCCGCCTCCCGAAGCCTGGTATAGGCTAGCCGTGTCCTACTGAAAGGAGGCCGCACAACACCTGAGGGATCGACCCAGTAACGTTATTTGCAGTAATGTAGCCTGGGTGCTTTACCCCAACTGTAACTGTGTAAGGGAGTTGTCCAGGGGAGCACCTCCCTCATAACCACCTGTTTCTTGCCTGCTTGTGACTAAAGCTGAACGCCCTACAGAACTCGCCATGCGATACCAAACAAACAATGGTGAAATGGCCAGGCCGCTGTGACCTACATGAAGGAGGTTTTCCAACACCTGTGGAGCCATTAGTAACGTTATACATATGTATCAATCATAACCAGCCTGTGCGCTTTACCCCAACTCTAACGGAGTTATCCAGGGGAGTACCTTCATCATAACCACCTGTTTCTTGCCTGCTTCTGGCTGAACGCCCTACAGGACTCGCCATGCGATACCGGGCAAACAATGGCCAGGCCGGCGTGACCCACCGGACGGACTCACACAGCCGCTCCCCACGGCAAATATGTGTTCTGGCTTCTTTTGTGTGTCCTTTACAATCTCCAAGCAGATCGTATGGTGGCTACAAGACAGTATCAAATTGGCAGGATTGTTGCCGGTTACCAACTCGGCAAGACGGTATCCAATGTGCGCTTATCCCCTGACTACGCCCAACAAAAGACAGCCCATCCGCCTGGTCACAGTTTTTAGCAAACCCCGAAACGACACCTGTTGTATTAGGGTAGAGAATATTCTGGATTTTCTTTCCTCAAACATTACACGCCACCCATACACCCAACCATGTAAAGCATGTCAGTGATTCAAATTGTTTATATACAAACATAGCTAGCTGTATTTTGACAAGTGCCGTATGCTTAGTCATGGATGTGCTATTTATAAGGCTTGATACAAAAAAAATTGCGTGAGGAAGCAAGGCAATCAGAGATGGCAGACTTCATTCCCTTACCCATACAGCTTTGTGAACATTTCAGTGCTGCAGACAATACATACATACATGCATGTACATATATATGGCGCCGCTAAGGATTTACCATCGTATTGAGTCTACATTTGTATCGGGAATTTCAGCAGCCAATATTTCACTTCAGTTCCCGGGGCGACGTACAAAGAACGGCGACTTGTGACAGAAGTCTGTCATGTCACCAATTCAATACAAAATCCCCTCTGAGACCATCTATAAAGGAGGCCTTGGCGGCTGTTATCTGAAAGAAGCTATTCCCATTGTGTTATTTTGCTGTGACGACCACACCCAAACATGACACAGACTGCTCACTGGGACATGTCATATTCAGCATCTGAATGCATTAGGCTATCCAGTCATGCTTTGATAAAGCAATAACTTGAAACCACAGGGAAACCTATGAAAATGGACTCAGACCTTCGAGCGTGGAGGAATACTAGTGACATAATTACATGTCTACCAACCCAAGACCACGGCCTCTGAAAACACGTGTAAACCTCCTCTGGCTTTACCTACCACACTGCTTCAGTTCAGCACACAAATGACTAATCTCCAAGCAGATCTTTCGGTTGGGTGGCAAAAGACCGTATCCATTGGCCATCCTGTATCCATTTCGGTGGCTAAAGGACACTCCTCTGGCCAATGGATACTGTCTTGCCACCAAAAGATCTGCTTGGAGATTAACAAATGACTACTGTTGATATGCTATTGATTGCAACAATGTCGATGTTTTTGCTACCGGGTAAATGCGACCACTTTAACGTTCCACAATTGCCATCGAATCTAGATCGAAAAAGAAATGTCTGTAAAAACTGCAACATCATCATCAAAAACACCATCATCAAAAACAAAATCCTCAAAAATACCTACCCTCCATCCGTAGCAGGCTTATAGAACTGGGGGTTTGGTGGTCTTCAGCTGTTTTCTGATTAGCCCAGTTAAAAAAACGGGGTTAATTCAACCAGGCCGGCTATGTTGTCTATATGCAATCAGAAAATAGCACATATAAAAGCTCCCAAAGACCCTAAAGATCCCCAAACCCCCAGTTTTTGGAAAGGTATGGAGGCTAAAAAACACCACCATTAAAAACATCATCACCATCGGCCGCAGCGCATAAATTTGACCACGGGTTTCCCCCTGTAATGTCTGCAGACGCAAACCCCGTAAACACGTGAGTGCCGTGAACAGGAATATCGGCATGAAGAGGCGGATGATGAACACGGTTCGGCCGCCCTGCCGGGGTTTTATAAACGTCCCGCAGGTCACATTACGGATAGACTCGTGACCTAGTCTGCACCAGACGCCGCCAGGGCTGCCGAATCTCCAAGCAGATCTTTGTAGATGTAGATGTAGATTCCTTCAGGCCAGGTAGGAATATCTTCCAGTTTGGGCCGCTCTTGGCTTCAGCCGACAGTCATCTCAGGTCGCATGGGATGATCCAGGGCTCTGTAGTTATATACTACTGGATGTAGTCTCTCATATGTTTATCAAATCTGGTTTTGAAACAGTTCACGCTGGGAGCTGTAATCACTTCCTCCGGTAGACTATTCCACCAGCATACTGTTCTTATGGTGAAAAAATAAAGTCTTGTGTTTGTTTTTGCTGGCATCCTGCTTAGTTTCAGCTGGTGCCCTCTTGTTCTTTTATCCGATACAGTAGGTATGGGGCATTTGGTATCATACAGGCCATGGGTGTATTTGTAGACATTAATCATATCGCCCCTCAGTCTTCTGTACACCAAAGTAGGAAGCTTTAGTGATCTGAGCCTGACTTCGTATGGAAGTTCATGTAAGCCCGGCACTCTTTTGGTCGCTCGCTTCTGTACTTTTTCAAGTTCTATAGCAAACTTCCAAGTATGCGGAGACCATTTAGGAGCTCCATACTCCAGATGTGGGCGTATGATTGATTTGTAAAGTGTAAGAAACATTTCTTTATCCATGTACTCAAAGATTCTCCATGTTAGCCCAGTTATCTGATTTGCCTTTTTTACAATGGACATGATGTGGTTGGCAAAACCCAAGTTTTTGTCTACTTTGATTCCTAGATCTTTTTCTTCTTCTGAGAAACTCAGAGGTATAGGATCTGGATTCCCAATTTCAGACATGTTGTAGGTGTATTCTGGGTGTCCATTTCCCACTCTTAGGACCATACACTTGTCTGGATGAAAATTTAACTGCCACTTAGTGGCCCATTTCTGTAGACTGTTCAGGTCTTTGGTGGCTACTAGACAGTATCGTTATCGAATTGGCAAGGCCAAGAAATCAGCGGGCGGAAAAAAAAAGATAACAAGTTACCGGTACAAAAAAGTAACCCCGATAAAAACGCATGAAAAGCTATGAACAATAATCCGAAGCCTAAAGCTCTGTTTGGAGAGTAAATTTGGCTAATTTCTGCCGAAGTGTCTGTGAGAGACTAGCTATTAAAGCTAATTCCGGCAGCCCTGGCAGTGTCTGTGTGAGACTAGCTACATGTAATTCCGGCAGCCCTGGCAGTGTCTGTGTGAGACTAGCTAATTCCGGCAGCCCTGGCAGTGTCTGTGAGAGACTAGCTAATGCAACCCTGGCAGTGTCTGTGAGAGACTAGGTAATGCTATTCCGGCAGCCCTGGCAGTGCCTGTGTGAGGCTAAATTCTGCGCTATTCCGGCATCCCCAGTGTCTGTGTCTGTGTGAGGCTAATTTCTGCGCTATTCCGGCATCCCCAGTGAGTGCCTGTTTGAGGCTATCCGCACCTTTGCGCACGCAGCTCGCGCAGGTGACGTCTGCCTGGGTAGAAGATGTCTCGGCACGCGGGCCGGTCGGATGCGGACACCGACAGCGAACTCGGTAAGTCTCGGCCCGCCTTGTCCCCGCTTTAACCCGCATTTCCACAGCCTCTACAGGCAAACCTGGGCGCTAAGGCAGGCTGTGGCGCAGGGCTGTACGGCCGGGCATGCCAGAAATACCCGCGGTCGGGCTGTGGTGTCGGCCTGCCTCTCTGTTGTGGTTCCGCGAAAGGTTTAAAAAAAAAACGTACCGCGCATAATTTTCGATTCAGCTGGCTTCCTGGCGAATTAGTGGCTGGTAATGGGCGCTGAAACGCGGCCTACATACGCCTAACCCCGACCCTAGTCATGATTCTGATGCTGCACATTTGTGTCATTGAGTCCCGCTCCAGATTTGGTGTCCAGGCGATGTTATGGTGGCCCAGTTTCGAACCTGGGCGCTCCAGCTGACGCCCCCCTCCCCCCTCACGCCCTGCCCATTATAGGTAAACACACCAGGTGGATAACCAGCGTCTCTCACGTCCCGAAATAGCCCAGAATCGATGGGATATTGACGAATTTTGGGGTTTAATGTGTGTAAGGAGTGTGAGGTAGTCAGTACGAGCTGTAGTCATGGACGGAGGTTGTGTGTGTGTTTCTCCAGGTGAGCGGTGTAGTGTCAGCTCCAGCTCGCCAGAACGGGAGCCCGGGGCGGGCCGAAAGTCCAGGAAGCAGCGCCTTCTCGGCTACTTTAAGAAGAAGGCGAAGCCGCGATGGCCGTTCCTGGCCGAGAAGCAGAAATCTCAGGGAACCAGCACGAAGCTGAAGCGCGACCCGAGACTGACGTGCAGCCAGCCCGACATCGCGCACCAGGGCTACGACTCGCCGCTCCGGCGGCCCTCCCTCGCCCCTGCCGCCGCCAACGGGCGGGTCCGCGGCCCGACAAGGCCCGACAGCGGCCAGAACGGACAGGACTGCGCCTTCGCAGAGGTTCTGCCTAAGGAAGACGCGACAACAAGCCGAGAACAACAGGACGGGGCTACGGGGTACTCACCCTCGCATGAGGGCTCCACTTCCGGGTACAACCACCGGCAGCAACACACGGTAAGTCATGATGTAAACAACTTATAAATAAGGTTTCAGTTTCAATTCTTTATTAACATACCCAACATAACAGACAAACATGGCATGCGATGTTGGCTGAATGGCGTTGATATTTACATGTATACCAGTGGTCGAAATACTTTTTTTCAGTGTTCTGCAATATTGCAGAAGAGTCAAAATTTTGTTCTGCAATTTGGAAATACTTTCTGCAAATACACAAGCCTCCATACTACAATCTTGCAGGTTTATAAGCATGAACTATTGATTGATATGCAAATTAGTGAAGACAAATTTTTGGAAGTCCAAAAGGAAACAAAAGATAGACAAGTCAAGACAAGGTTGATGTAAATTAGTGAAGAAGCTTCTGTTGTTTCAGAACAGGAGCTTAAGTGTTTTATGTCCTTGGGGCCAAGAGCGCCAAATCCCAAGTGCCAATTTTTCCTGCTGCAAAATTGCAGATTGTATAAATTTTTCTTCTGCAATCTTTGAAATCTATCTGCAGATTGCAGACTGCAGACAGGTATTTCGAACACTGTATACAAAATGTCAAATATCATATATCTACAAAAACTATAAAAACAGTAATGTTACAGTAACAGTACAACCCAGATTTCTTTATTGTAAGTTCATGCCTGAAGGCTAATTGCAAACGGACATTGACAATAACAATGAGTACAGAATGTTGTAAGGAATGTCTACTAGAAAACCATACACTAAAATGAAGTTGTACCTTCTACTAATCTAACTTTCTAACTTTCATTATTAAAGCTAATAATGTAATGTGTTATGTATATATGACAGAGAGTAGATATGTTTGTAATACATAAATACTTAAGAGAAACATGCTAAATAACAACTCAGAAACCCTTTTTCCAGTAAAAAAACACTTCTCCAGAATGGTTCCAATAGTCTAACACTCTAGGGTTTCCGGCCATTACACCAAATTAGCAATCAGCACAATGTGTTTTACACCTCAGGGGATAACAGTTAATTATAAACCGTTAGAAACACCCCCCATTCATTCAGGCAAACACTACAGAACAAGTTTAGAAACCCTCACACAATACCACCAGTGTGTTCCCTATTGTATAACTGCGTGTTACATTAGACTGTAAGGAAATAGCAGTGCGTACACTTTTGTGTTGCTGAATATGTGCCTGGTACAAAAATAGTTTCCCTGCCGCAATGCCGTTATGGGTCATGAGGTAATAATAATATAATAAATGGTTTTTATTGTCCAAACAGTACCCATGCAGTCGCAGCCTTACGGCTGAATTGATGCAGGGTATCACATAATAATCAATACAAATCACAACAATTACAACGTTCAAATAATACAAATGATACACATAGTCGCAAGGGTCTGTGCGGCTGCCATTCGGCGCCACAAGGTGACCTCAATACGACTTTCCCCAACCGAAGTTAGGTACCCATTCACACCTGGGTAGAGTGAGGAAATTCGTGTAAAGTGCCTTTCCCAAGGGCACAACGTCGGGGCGCATGTTCAGACATGTACCGGGTACGACTCGGAATCGAACCCGGGTCTCCCGGTTCACAGTCGATTGCTCTAACCACTACACCACCCAACGCACACAAATAATATAAAATAATAAAAAAGGCTCAGGGACTCAATAATCCTTCCTGCCCTACACTACAGTAGTACAATAATATGCCTGGGTCAACGCTAATCCTTCATGCACTACAGTAGTAATGGGTTAGCATCACAGGGCTACTAGTAGTCATGTTGCAGTGAGTGAATATAGAATCCACCCCTACATCCATGTTTAAACAATGTTGACAAAGTTTATCCTGCAAATATCAGATACCACTGTTTATTTGGTCAACATTGCTAAGTACCCCCTCTCCAACTGTTGTAGATTCCAACAGCATGTATGAGGTGTAAGGATAAAGAATATATCATTACTGTATGATAGTGAGTAACGCTAAGTTTTTGTCTGGAAGAGTCTTGTAGCATGTCCAGTGATGTTCCCAGGTTGGACAGTGAGAGTTGAGAAGTGAGAGTATAATTGACACTGACACCTGTTTAAGGATGTGGCTTTATCTGTTTATAGTTTTTACCCTGGCAGAGTGCCTAACTGTGATACCAGCGGCCTGCCTATGGCAACCTACTCTCCAAGCAGAGGTGTGGGGGAATGATTGTTAGCTTTTTATATACTACTAGTATGACCTGTTTTTTTTGTCGCTACCCCCACCAACCTTGGGTCGCGCATGGACCCTCTCTGGCCAATTGGATACTCTATTTTTGAGACCCTAGGATCTGCTTGGAGATTAGTAGTAACCCTTTAGTTCTGCCCCTGTGCGATCCGTTCAGTTCCAGTGATTGACCCCTTTTCCTGCCCACACAACAGGATTTGCAGTTTTCACCACTGCCTATACAACAGGATTTGCAGGAAAGCTCAGAGTGACCCGGCCAGGCATATTTCACGGGCTGAGCTGGACTCACCAGTCCTGTTGGCCTGACGAATCAATTCTCACCCCTTTTCACTTTAAGTGGAGAAACATATTGAACAGATTCAGTCACAATCCTCCCTGGACACGTATGTCTGTCTCATAACAATAGTAAGTGTTAGTCTGGGATCCTCCCTGGACACATGTTTGTATACAGTTAGTCTGGGATCCAGGCTTTCTCTAGCTTTATAGTCAAAACTGTTTAAGAAGACTACTAGTACATGATCTGATAAAATCAGGTCTATGAAACAAGTTTGAACTGTATTTTCCAACACAAAAATTGTATTGTCCCAAATTTTATATTTGTTATTATTACCTCCATGAAATGTGTCATGGAGGTTATATTTTCAGTTGCGTTTATCTGTCCGTCCGTCTGTCCGTCCGTCTGTTGGTCAACAAGATAACTCAAGAACGCCTGGATGGATTGGTTTCATACTTGGTGTGTTGGTAGGGTGTGACGAAAACTGGAAATGATTAGATTTTGGGCCCTCTAGTGGCTTCCCTTGGTACTGCAGCGCAACTTCCGGTTTTGATATCTCGCGATCTGGACATGCTAGGGTCATGAAATTTGGATGGAAGGTAGCTCTTGTCCTCGGGAGGAAGTCACGTGAGTTTGGTCCCCCTAGCGGCTTGTTCTGGAACTGCAGGGTGGTTTCTTTGAAAATCTTCGAGAGAGGATAACTGAACAACCGTTTGATGGATCATCATGATTTTTGGTATGTAGGTAGCTTAAGTGATGCTTGACATAATCAAAATATAATTATGCAAATCAGGATCTAATTTGCATAATTAATGAGGAAATTCTATAAATCAGCTTTATTTCATATTAGGGCTATAAAACTCTATAGACATATGTTAGTGAGAACGACAAGATCATTGGCAGATATCGATTATGTAAAGGAAGACCTAATTTGCATAATAAATGGCAAATTGGTACAATTTTATGGTGGTAACTGCTGGGAATTTAATACTTGCCATAATTGGAAGTTCAGTGAAGGTCAACATCACTAAACATAATTTATGTCAATCAGGACCTCATTTGCATAATTTATGAGGAAACGCTAGAATAGCCTTATTTCTTAAGATAACCCTGTCATTTGGTGGAGAGTATGATCAATTGATACAATATATGCAAATGGCCTCATATGATTTGAATATATGCGGTGAAAAATGTAAGCCAATTACAGGTGGTCATCACCATGCGTAAGATTTATGAAAACAATACACATGTCATGGAGGTATGAGATCATCGAACTCTAGTATTCTTGTATAATCTTATGATTATGATTGGCATAAACCTTGCCAAAGCCTTGACGAAGACTTGATTTGATCAGTTGAAAATTTGGGTAAGTTCAACACATTTGAAATTGCAGTTCAAACTTGTTTATTAAATCTAGAAGGGCACTTCTGTTACTAGAGGGTTCTGGAAGGGTACTTTTGGGACTTGTATGTTGTAAGCTAACTTGAAGTTGTACATGTGCAGGAGACAGTTTCATGAAATACTTTACTTTTTGGGCCACGTGCCAGATATGAACATATGTGAAACTCTTTCGTTTATGACGAACTTGATTTTGTGCATTACTGCAATTCTGTTCATGCAATAAACCATGTGCACAACAACGTTGCGAGTTACTGCGTTTAACACAGACTGACATATGTTACAATGTTGCGATTTACTGCGTTTAACACAGACTGACATATGTTACTGTCTCAGTCTGGTGAAAAGTACCTTTTATTGCACACCTTTGGAGTCGGGAAAACGAAAGTGTTTCTGAAAGTGGCATAAGGTTTGCCAAATGCTTCAGCAGTAATGATGGCATAACATTGGAGATAATTGCTCTGGTACAGGTTTTCTGCTTGGCTGCAGGATAATCACTTTTATCTCCTGGGATTATGTAACTTAGATAAAGGCATTGCACTGGTTTATACATGTACAACTCACCTCAAACTTTCCTTACTCTCATCCATGGAAACTTTTAAATGTGGAGTAAAAACAATGGCACATTCTCATAGAGGCTTAATGTTACTTTGCCATCATTTACCTGTGTTGATTACTAGTACTTTGGTAATGGTTATATATATATATTTTTTTAAAATATTGTTCACCCCCTTATTCTTTATTGATGGAAAAGTCAAAGATATCATATACAGAAGAATACACAAAGTTGCTTTCAATCACAATGGTATATCTGCCATAATTTGGAAGGGAGGACTGCTTACTCTTAACACTAATTAAATTCAAAATTTTCCCTGACCATAAACAACAAACTGCCAGTGACAATTGTTATGTCAAATTAGACCTGACAGTTGTTATTAGGCTGATTACGTGTTGTGGAAAAACCCTGCAGACCCTATATTTATGCCAGTAAACAATGACCCACTACAGTTGGGTAAAGTCGATTAACTGTTCCAGTTGTTGCTAATGACCCCTTCACACGACAGGAGGGATGAACTGGAATTATTATGCTGTCAGAATGCATATGAAAATTCTAAATGTATATTCAGCACCGTGGATATTCGAAGTGTACTTT